TCGTGTAAACTTGGTTGGAAAGAGTGAGCGTACGAGTGCATCTAAACAAGCCCCCATTCTTCCCCAAAGAATGTGCTTCTAAAATGGCATCTACTGGTATGCTCGTTTACGAATCGACATTGTTCAGCACTTACCCGTAACTGTTAAAAACGTATGACTTGGTCTTCCCTCACCCATCGAATTCTTTGGGTAACACCCATATATTCCCGAGTCAAACATCTGAGCTCGGTGTACAACATACGTTGTTGAATTGGTCTGAATGGGCTGAATCGGTACACTCCACCAGTCCACAGAATGAAACAGGCTGTGTGGAATTCGCGCCAAGTTCAATTTAAACCAATATATGGTCGGTCTGGGATATCCCGGAGCTGCGAATAAACCGTTGCCGGAAGAGAAGGGGGACAAAAAGAGCCTGTAGATCAAGTAAATACATTTCTAATACCAGATTTAACATCTTAATGGAATGCTAGTATTTGCCAATCAACCAACTGATTCTACTTCACTATTGAATGTCCATAAAATTTCAAAGAGTTCTCATAAGTTATCGACTGCGAATTCAAGAGCGATTTCTAATTAAATATGAAAGAATAAAAAACAGATTTAACTTCAGCCAACGGCCCTCAGTGGCCATCAGATCAATTGTTTTTTCAATTGGGTCGATGACAGAATGTCAAAATTGTCTCAGATTTCTGGAGAAGAACTTTCGAAAACTTTTTTCGCTTCACCACTGATTATAAACCGAGTAGTGAGACGTCACTAAATAAGATTCTCTACAGCTGTTGTAAGATGTAGTGGTCGGCTACCCATATCGCTTTTGTGAAAAGTTTGTGTTTGTTCGCCTAATTTGATATCCGCCAGCTGTCAAACACCAGTCGTCAGTGTATACACTATTGATCGCCGCACTTTTTTGCTCACATGATGAACGTCATGTGACTTGCTCATGCACGCGGCTTCCGTCTTGGTCGGCCTTGGTTCTCTTGGTGGCTGTTAGCCAGCCAAAAAGTCCAGCATCACTGCAAGGTAAACTGATTAGTACCGTGACCTTAGCATGGAAGTTGAACTCGGTAAAAGTGCGCACTCAGTCCGTCAAGATAAGTTAGTCAATTTAAACTGAATCATACCCAATGCAGCCCAGTGCAGCCCAATGCTCGCGCTACACCAGATGTATCCATATTTACCGATAGCCTCTGTGAAATACTGTTATTAATATCTTTTATGAAGTGAAAAACATGAATGGATGTTGACTTAATCCGTTTTCTAATTCATGAATTCCAACTGTTGGACCGCCGTTCGCAGTCATTAGTGGAATTGCCCATCTGTATCACTTGAGAATTTTTACGCCCAGAATAGATCTGTCTACACTTGGAAGTAGATAATACCACTGTTTTAGGCGCTTCACTAGTGGAGTAACGCTAACAAATAATTTCCAGTTTACCAGGTTGTTGTTTGTTACACGCGGCAGATCAAGTGCGGAGTTGACTTCCGTGACATAACACTACTTATAAGGTTGCCGGAAACTCTTCGAAAGCCCACGACCGGTTTAGCACTTCTTTGAGCGATGCACATATCTGCGAAGCTATGTCCATTTTGTTTGTAGGGTGGAAGATGAGGTCACTGCACGAATTTCTAACGCTCGGATCGCATTTTCTAATTTGAGACATCGATGTCAAAGTTCATATCCCGGAGTCTCAAGAAACACGTGTGCCAAGCTAGAGTATTTATTGTATGGCTGTAAGACGGGGCTTCTTCGGGCAGCGGGGATAAGTCATCAAGTTTTCCTATCAGTAATCACTCAGAAACATTGCTCTTTAAAGTGGCGCCGGTGAATCCGCAACGAGACAATGGAAAACGAGTGTCCTATTGCGCAACGTGGACCTTTATCGATGAGTACTACCAGTACAAGTAGCAACGTTGATTAGGCCAAATGGTGCGCGTGCTGAACCCTCATCTTCAGAATAAAATGTCCGATTTGGAGTGGCAAAAACAGAAAGTGGGCCAATTTTCGACCTAGCCGAGGTCAAACTGAGATCGAAGGACATTATCAAAAGTCTGGGTGCTGTCAGTTAGACCCACCGACAAATATTTTGACCATGATAACTTGGTCAAAAGATTTAAGACCCCTATCATTAGACGAAGTTACTATTGGTAAGAAAGAGAATCATTGACTGTATTTTCTCAGCATGTAGCTCAGTTGCTCCACAGCCAATGGATAGTACATGAAATTCGTCAGTTTATGTCTTTGATACAGAAGCAAAATTCGGTTACGTTTCTGGGGTACATAGCTGGTGGAATATGCTTGAATAAATATTCAAAGGAACGATTGATTCTGTTAAGTAATTTATATCCATCAAAGCACCAAGTAAAGACCGCATAGCCCTCCAGTAATCGCCATGGAGGGGAAAAGCTTGTTCTTCAACCTATCCTTCATGGTTGGGATTGAGACAGAAACTAATGCGTACTTTTGATGAGGTCAACAATGTTACCTTTCAAGCTGTTTATTTGGATCGTCTTGTAACAAGAACAATCAGTCCGCATTCATGACTTTTCACTTCTTCAGGTACGTATGTAACGTAGGTCGTAACGTTCCCCAGTATTGTCCGGAATACCTTCCTGGTAGCACCACAGAGTCATTTGGAAGCATCATCATTGCTTGACTTGTCGACACAGGTCATACGGCAGATAAGAAGTTACATATATATCTGTTTAACTATCTCCGCAAACGTACCCAGGTAACAGCTGAGTCAGTTAATATCAAGCTTCACTCATCCAGCCTATGTAAACAAACAAGTTTAGCCAAACTTTCAGCCGTCGCTTTCAAAATAGTTTTATGAGCGTCGTTTGAAAATTTGATACGTTTTTTATTTAACCATGGTGGGCAAAACAAATTTCCTTTGCTCGTTACTTTTTTTCACCAGACAGCAATAATTAATCACCAACAGCTCATGTGTCCTACTCGTCATCCAATTTAATTCTGTATGTTCTGGGTGCTAAATTTCTTCTGAAGCAATTTCATTCTTTGACTCAGAACCAGGCGCTCAAGAGATGTCAGATCGATAGTGAGGGAGTTATGAATCTGTACCAAGGTACCGAAAACAATAATTGAGAATGTTACCTCAAATTGACAGACATGGCTTGCGGTAGCAATTGAACTTACAAGTGCTATTCTCCAAGCAGCGAAACATGACGGTTTCCTCCTCGTTCACCTTGTCTGACGGACTCACTAACAGAGTAGTCTGTCCTGGGTGATCTAAATGGTACCGAAATGCATCACGTTTCAGACAGCATTTGACAGTCTAATGATAAATTCATCACCTGCAAACTGTTCCAAATGCCTCCACCAAATCAGCCGGAAACCGGAAATTATGTAAATTGGGTCACCTTTTACGGAGCTTACACCTGTGAAATTCAATAACATCCACGGAACAACAGCCTTTGTGACCCTGTGTATAATGTGTGGCCCAAAGACTCATGGTGGAGAAGAATAGGGACAGCTCGAGTCGCTAATATTACTCACCCTTACTGGATATCCAGCTCGTTTGTTGTAGTTTACTGCTGCCTGGTAGTTGGTTGGCTTGCTGAAAGCACCATTGCCCTAAATGACAGAACCAATTCAAATAATGGCGAGCACGTGATATCGAGTGTAAAAGACAAACTTCTCACTTTTATTGTTGTGTGATTTACATAATCAGTCATGCCTAACAGAAAAGATTGCACACATTACTCGTAGGCCGAAAGCTCTTCGACAGCCCGTGACCGGGGCTCATCAAATAGGCGCAGTCCCTGGGGTTCCTCTCAACCAACAAAATTGCACGAAATTCGACAACTACACTTAATTGAATACCAGCCTGCTTTTGACGGGAGACTCGCCCAAAACCCGGCTGAATCTCTCGTTTATGTCATTTTTATTCGACTGAATTTGGTTCAAGTAGGACATAAGGTTGACCGAGACCAGAAAACCATGCTTACGTGATGGACTTTAAGAAGGGCTAAATCAGCCGTGGGATGTCCAAGAGATTTCAACAACTTTATGAGAACTTTATGGCGTTTATACAATATACCAGGATAACTCGAAACTAGTACCAAATGAAGCACGAGGTTGCCTGGGACAGCACATTCATAAGCAAAAAACATCATGAACGAGGAAGCCGGCCAGTTCATAGGTGAGCGGTCCATGTTGACCAAGTTAGTGGGAAATTGTGTGAGTCTCTTCCTCCAACTTACCCAATGTCTGGCGTTCTTTGCCTACTGCACAATGTGACGTTAAAACGGTGACAAGAGGTCGCAATCTTCAGGTGGATGCGAGGATTGCAACTTCAGCTTCTGAAGCTTCTGAAAACTACGATTGCACCACAGTTTTATGAAAGGACTTGCACAAGTGAACTAGAAACTTGTGAACCATGGACAGGTGAGTTAGCTACAGAAATAACGGTTAGAGCGGTGGATAGCTTCTTGCTAAGGGACGTCAGTAAGTTATATCCACTGAAGGTACTGTTCTTGAATCAAGAATAATAAGAACCTCAAGAAAAAGGGTCACAGTGAAATTGAGAAATGAGAAAATATTTGACCAAAGATGTTGGGATACTGTGAACAGGGGGAGTGTTCACTTCTAGCGTTGGTCACATCTGTTACAGTTCATTCGACTGCTTGATTCACGCTTGTTGTCCTCACCCTGAAAGCCCTTATCTCAATTCTTATGGGTCAAAAATGCAAACGTGGTTTCACCCTTCATACCGCGCAACGACCAGTTCGATAAACTCTAAACGTACGAATGTACGAAGCGTACTTGGTGGCAGGTCTCACCACCCTAATCATCAATGCCGATCTGGCTCGCTTCCCATTCTGTCACCTGCTTTTTAAGATTTTCGTTCCCTATTGTGTTAATGTTCCCAATGTACCAAAATGCTATGGTATAATCTTTTATTTTTTTCTGGTTTTAAGGCGTAAATCGCTTCCGTCGCAACTGTTTAGGACTCACTTATACCTGAACATCCATAGATGAGATAAGTTTATCACTGTTCACTAGCGTGTAATTATTGCCGTATCGACTGGACTAAACTCGGACCACTTATCAACAAGTGACTTACTGCTGATCACACAAACGTAGGTTAAATAGCCGCTAAATACCGAGTTTGATGATACCGAGTTTGGAGCTGCTGGTTTAGTCAGCACGGATTTCGACAGGTGAAAACAAGCCACCAACAGCAGGAATGTTGGAGGGCACTAACTGCGATCTGCGTGTGCGGTGTGAACGCCGTGGTGACCAATAGCCCTGTCCCGCGATTTTTTGGCAATATCGCTCAGTATACATCCACATATCCGCCTGTTTGGACCCAAATTACCGCATGATCCAATGAGAAATTATCGGGACCATATGTCTGACAACCCGTGTACGTTTTGTGCCTAAATAAGGATTTGTGGCATTTCACAGTCGGTCTTTCTTGTGAGATTAGCAATAAATTGTTTCAAGTCGACCTCCTGGGAAATCAAGCAGTCGAATCGATCTGACTAATCTTTTTCTTCGCCAATAGTCCGGCCCAAAAAATTATTTCTATGTTGGTTGTCGTTGGCTTGTTCGCTGATCTGGGCAATTTGATTGCAAACGTTTCATCACCAATCGAGGTGACATCATCAGTGCGTTATTGTGAAGCGTAGTAGTTGGTGGTTGCGCCAACCAACAACAACCACAACCACCAACCCAACGTTTGCAATCAACTTGCCCAGCTCAGCGAACAAGCCAACGACCACCATCTACGCTACCTGAGCTACCGACATTTTCCTCTATTATTTCTGTGTGTGCGAAATATCACAGAATTCCATGAACTGATTAAAAGAAAGGTCTATTGATACAGAGCCAACTGTAAGGCAGAACAGACTGAACTGTGGAGCAGACTTCGATAGACTCGGTCATTTGTGCAGACCAGAATGAGCGTGCAGAAGAAAAATTCATCCACAATGATACTTAAATGAGGACATTGAATAATTCAAAGTGAAGGTTTTCAATCTTCAGCAATCCCAAATACGGCGGAAGCAAAGATGGCTTGTTGGCAAATTTCAGATTAGCTTTCTGGATTATGGTCACCATGTTCACAGTCAACGGTACTCACTGGAATACAGTTGTCAAAACTGTCTGGAAGCTTGAAAAGTTGCAAACAGCCGGTCGGTCATAGTCTCCGAGCCTCAGGTTCTTTGTGTAGGCCTATATCCAACATAAACTGTTTTAGGAAAAGTTGCTCCGTGAATGCATCAGGTATGAAGTTCAACAAAGAGGCTTTTCTTTGCTTTAATGCTGCTTTCAGATGAGGTGAACAGTAACTATTCTGGAGGAAGTTCGAGAAGAGGGGAGGAGATTTGGAGAGATTTCGAAAAACCTTCCGTAGATGAATGAAATTGGTTAAGCTTATTTTGCTTCAACGATAAGTTAAGACTTCTGTAGTTGTCACAGCTTTGTCCTTTCTGTTCACCAATGCAAGGTCTTTTGGGGACGAAATTGCCCGGTTCACCTGTATTTCGTTTTACGATATACTTCACCGCTACTAACATTAGTATTCGGGGTGTCTATCAGTAGTTAGAACAAGATCCTTCTGTTTTTCCAGTTTCTTTTCTTCTGAAAAACGGAGGTCCGCAAAACCGAGGTATCCTAATCAGACCGCAAATACACACCGGTTTTCAACAGTAATTTTGAGACGAACGCTAAAGATGTTGACAACAGTGCCTCCAAAAGCTGTTTTTTGGAAATAAATCTTAGTAACACTGATCTGAGAATAAAACGCAGTCCTACAAAAGGAACCAACAAAAAGGGTTGCTGTACACTCTTCGACAGCCCACAACCGGTCTTCCCTTTTTTGGATTCATCAGGTGAATGCAGTCCCCCGAGTTTCTGCCAACCTTATGTTCTACTTGAATCCGAATATTACGAAAATAACGAAATGCATTTATTTGCAAACGAGTTTGGTTTTGATGCAAAACTCTGCTGAATCATAGTTGAATCTCTCGTTTATTGTATTCTTCAACTGGATGCGCTGCACTGGAGGTAGAACAAAGGTCTCTTTGAGTAGTGTGTTAACCGAAACTTGAGATAGATTGTGTGCAGCACATCCAGTTGAAGAATACTGAAAACTGCAGATTCAGTCGGGATTAAGTTGCGTTTCTCGCAAAAGATGAATTGGTATGCATATGAGTGTATTTTACTAGTCCTACAAAACCCAGAATGAGCAAATTTTGCGGCTTCTAAGTTAGGACATGTTGCTGACCACTTATCAGAATGGAAGCCACTGTTGCACCTAACGCTTTTACTCAGTAAATGGAACTGATCTATCAGATGACCGCATTTAAAACGGACAGCAGCACAGACTCACAATGAACAAAAAGGGTGAGTGTCGCGGAACGTCGGTATCCCGTAAGCCACCATCTTGCGTGATCTTTGGATAAACTTTTCATTTCTTGTTCGTCCAAAATCTCGGCTAGATTCTCCACGGATTCCGCATGACATGTGTACTCGCCAAAGTTCCTCTGACTGACGTTTGGGATCACCAGGGTTCTACTATTATACCTTGCCGAGCTATCCGATTGCCCTAGAGAAGCGGAGGAATTGACGGTCCAGTAGATTCGTCGCACGGGCGGGTTACTGTCCGCTCGACAGGTAATTTCCAGGCGCTCGCCCTCGTTTGCCATAACACTTGAGGGAATGAACACCTGAGGCGGGTCTTAAACAGGATGATGAATGATTCTGGGGTCGAAAGTCATGAAAATCAAAGGCATGTAATTTCCTGATACTGGTAAAAACAAATGCAGTACATGCACGAAAAAAACTTACCAGACATGTACTATGTGCTTTGATGTGTTCCCATACACATTTCTGTCACACTATCTAGTCTAACTTAGGCAATTGGTCTGCTAACATCCAAATGGCTACTCAGTCGACTTGAACTGTTCCGATTAAATGTTCCAGCCCGTTGAAATTTTGCACATCGTGCTCTTTGGGTACAAACTTCTATTACGGTTAAACCACAGTAGCTCTATATAAGTCCAAGGGCAATTCATCAAGAGGATACATTCAAATCTGCACTGAACTTATATGAATCATGCTTATGTCCGGCATAATCTCAGCATCCTTTGTGATACTCCTACAAGTCTGCGCGCGTTGTCTCAACATTTCCTATGCATTGAGTTATTTGCTGGTCACGAATATACTGTCACGTTTGAGGTGGGCGGACGTCGTAATGAATTATGCGCATTTCATCAGTTAAAGAACGAGAACTTCAAAGTTGACCTGTACTCACACAGAACACCAAAAGTGAGTTCCCTCCTAGTTTCTCCGATATAATTGCTCGCCGTACAAATGAAATGTTTCACACCGTTCCTGGTAATACCTGGAAGACGCAGATCTGAGGAGTCTGAAATGGGAGGGGAAGTTCATGGTTAAATGGAACGTAACTGTACTTCCTGCTAATTGAGTGGAAGAAATGAAAACGAATGGTGATTTTAAATGCACCAAATTATTTGGCAGTTTCAAGGACTGTGGTGGTGGAGCTAGGTTCAAAAACATACCTGAGTGGGTGAATAAGTCTACAAATCACTGTAGTTTCCTCAACCACAAGCTCGACGTATGCTGCAGATGATGTTGCGATCAAGATGGCTACAAAATGGCTACCAGATGTCCAGGGTTCCATTCCCAGCACGCCCATTGGATATACAATGCTGATGAGCTCTAATAAGAGCAAAACTCTAGTCCAGTATTTCCTTTTGGTGTGAACTCACGCAAGAAAAGGAGGACGATCGTTCAAACGAGAGTGGAGTGACTATGAACAAATCAAAATATTCCTCCCTAAAAGCTACACTACAGTACAGGTATGTGATTTGCCAACGATCACACTGTAGTGCATCCCACAAGGATACAGGACACCAAGTGGTTTTACCCGTGAGTAGATCCAAGATCCATTTCATAATGATGTTCTACCAGGATGATATGAAAATATTCTAAAATACAACACAATATCACCTGGTTTGCAATGTCTATTTAACCGCATGAAAGCTTAGGCTATCCCAAATTAGTCTTAGGGGATTACGTATCGACGTGGGCTCACATTTTCATAAGGATACAATGATAAATAAAAACAATTTTATTAGTGTAGTGACCCCACCTCTAAGTATACCCTCTCCATAAACAGTACCTTTTTTATTCCACTTAACTGTGGTGAAATTTGGCAAACTTATGTCACAGAGCCACCAGCATACAAGCCCTGAGTGGATTGCTCCAGAGGCTCTCATCTGAGTTCACATGTGCGCGCAATCTTATTGCGGTTATTTTCACTCCGCTGTGAGCGTTTTGGCCAGCGATGAGAAATTCACTTACTTAACGTTCGATATGTTGTGTCGAGTCCACAAAATATGATGGAGGTGATGTACGTGGCGTAGCAGGACCAAGGACTATTCTAATTCAAGGTTATCTCGGCTGTAAAATCATTTTCAAGATCTAATCCCTCTACCTCTTGAGAGATTTTTCTCCGAAGCACCTAAAACCACTTTGATTGCCTCTATCTAATAAACGACCATTGGAAGCTGGTTAATCTTCACATATGACGCAACTTTACTCAAATATTGTTTTTGTATTGAAAAGTCATCTGCTGGAGTGCCTGTGAGCTACGTAGCATAAAAGGCTCTTCTCTGAAAATGCTTTGATCAGAGAATGGTTCTGTGAGAAACGTCATGGCACCTGGGTTGAAGTTCAATGTATGTAGGGGACTCTGGTTTTGACTGACCCCTTCCATACAGCTTATTGTTACTCTGCTTTAGATTCCGTATTCGGAACACAATTTATTTGTCACCGTCTCCTAGGAGTTATCCGCCTCAACATTAGTGGAGTCATCCGTACTTTTTCGATGAGATCTGTGCGCTTCATACCAATAGTTACACGTCCACACAAATCTGCATACATGTTTATGTCAGTTCAGTCGGCACGTCTGGCTCTCATTTTAGTTTGTGCTATCAGGTTGCCAGGACAATACAATATCAAATAACTCAAGCTTGTTCTTCACACTGATCACCAAGGTGAAGTGAAACGCCCTCGCTCGTACTGTGCAGCTCAGGGATAGCAGTGTTCGAGATAGTTTATTCTTTCCGCGTGGATTCCATTTACTATGGGTTCTGTTGTATTAGCGAAACAGACAAGAGCATACAAACTTGGTAAAACACATTGAAAATAGTGACAACTCTCTGCGGATCAGTGTGAATATGTTGTCACTGTCGCCACCGAAAACAGTCTTGATAGTTCAGCGTCAGTAGTACAAAAATATACAGTCGCTTCAACATATTGAGACAAAGAGTGAAGTAGCCTAGTGCTCAATATGCTTGCACCTCTGACCCTCATTCAGATGCCTCGGATGGATGCCATTAGTTCCTTTTCACTGCCGTATCTGCAGGTTTCCCTATCCCTATCCTGCAATTTAGATCGCAGCCAGACTTCTCGTAACCTCCACTCTCTTCTTCTAAGTTGTACCTTGTCCGTCTTTTGGTATGCGCCGCACCGAATAAAGCAATAAAGGACAGAACCATTCTTGGTCGACTCTAAGCTCTTCGTATGTCACAGTTGGATGAATGCAGTCCCAAAATGAAGCTATTGCCACATCACCAAACAACCGTGTGCCAACCAGATCATCACAATTCGTTAGTTACCGCGAGGGACCCGCGGGTTGATAGTCTCTAAGTGTGGTATTACGGCCAATTGAGCATGCAGGGTTTTTCGATCGCAGTTCAGTTACATTGGATAAACAAGTCTGTCAGTTGTATTCTCTTTTGTCCGATACCGTAGATTTCTGAGGATGTTATTGGAAAACTTAATGTGGTTTTGTTGGGTCAAAATGTCCTGTGCTATTTGTCTTATATAAATAATAATAATAAATCGTTACGTCAGTAAGCATGTCATTTAATGTATGATTGTAAAATATTCTTGATTTCTTGCCTAGTTTACTGCAGCAGTGAGTTCACAGAGGCCATTTGACGAAACTCACTAGAGACAACTAGGCCTTGTTTGTCGATCCATTTGACACTGGCCGGTGGTTTTCCAAACGCCTGACAGGATTGTTGGATAGCAGCTAGTTCCAGGACTCGCTTGACAGCTTTCTCAAATGGATCGATAACCGGAGCGTCTGGTAAGGAAAGACAATAGGGGGGAGAATATAACTGTACGCTGTTACATGGAAGCATTGGACGAAATCCAGGGATCAGTAGTTGGGTTTGGAAAACTACATAATCGGCTACATTCCCTAAAATACTCGACCGTTCAACCAATTGCCAAAAGTTTCTCTACTTGCTTGTGAGTGTTTGTCCGAATCTGTATCATAGACATGCAGTTGAAATATAGGCCTGTGGCCTGGTCATTACCATGTACCTAATGATGACCATTCAGATGAAGTCGTCTTACTATTTACCAGCATCCATCCGGGGACTGTGTACTCACAACTGCATGCCTCGAATAGGAAGTATCTAGGGGACCCCAGAACACAACACTGAAACGGATTGCTTCCAGTCAGTTTGTATTTTCAGGAATCAGTGTTTCCCGTGGTCAAATTTTGAGATAGTCCCACATGAGGAGAAAGGCTTTTTACCCTTTTCTTATACTACTGGCAATAATCAGTAGTGTGGACCTGTCGCGAACAGCATTCTGACGGTTGGGCTGGGAAGCGGATTTCCGGGTGACCAATATGTCCACGATCGCAATACAATTAAGATCAAAGATCACGGACGCCTTGTACTACAGAGACAAACGTGAAGTTCCAAGGTTTACCAGGGTCAAACATCGTCTTCTAGAATAAAAGGTAACTTTTGCGGCCCGTAACCATATACAAGCAAGAATAAACCGGTCAAACATTTCCACCAAACTCAAAAGCATGGTCCGTTCCGCAGGACTTTCTCGGGGATAATGAATCTGAAGGGGGACAGTTTCACTTCCTCTGTGATAACAGGTTTGTATGAACGAATGCTGGTACACAATCATCCATCTGTTCTTTGTCCCATTTACTAGGATTTACTATATCTAAGTGAGCGTGGCAGCATGATTTTCACTCCTTTTGACCCGGTTTTCTGCAACAGCTCAGTCTTACCACATCTTGTTTGTCTATAGCTTTTCACTACATCATCCACATGAGTGGTTTATTGTCTAAACCCGCGTGCCTTCCTCAAAAATGCGTTGGCTTGAAGTACATCTACCTGGCTTTGCTTTCGCTTTCAATACCCTGATCAGGCCGCTACAGACCAACGATAAATTTGTAAGACCTCAACCCATAGATCTACCAGATTTGGTACGTGAGCTAGTCGGAGCACTTTAGGTTATTTCATTTAACTTGTTCAGGTTTGGTTCGTTAAGCCATTTCCATTTTTGATAACTTCGCTTAACAGTGTAGCGAGAATATTAGTTCTTATTCTAAGGTATCAGCTATTCGCGTATTCACAGTTGACTGACGTGCCAAGATAAGAGTCATTTTTGGACCCAACTTGGTAATTAATCTTGTAGTAAGGTCTGAACATTTGGCTAAATCTGACAATACTGACACATTTGGTCCAAGATACAGATTGGGAAGAGTGCTATGTAGTTGGTATCAGTTTCTGGATGATTGGAGCATCTTTTTCGTATCTATGAGCTTGAAAGGACGTTGCGAAAATTACCGATGATCCGTATAGTTCAGTGTACTTGAACTTTACAAACCTCAGTTTCTTGCAGATAGAAAGTGCCTTTGGCTACTCGGTAGCCTATTGGGCAAACCGATTTGGAGCAGAGATATTCCATTTTCATTATTATTATTATTATTATTATTATTATTATTATTATTTTTATTCACTACACAGAAGCGCACTGTTTATAACGGAAAACACCGGTCACAAAGGACCAGCTGAACTACTGAGAGGTATTGGATAGTCAAGTAAGCCTACAAAGGTCACTGTAGCGTTCAGCCATCTGACAATATGTGGTTGCCGAGCGGAGATTTGTGGATAGTGCGAATGCTATGAACATGTATGAACACAGGAAAGACGGTAGGAGGGAGTGCAAAGGCTCAAGCAATGGCAACCTCACCACTGCGTGAGCAAAGACGGGACCGTCATATCTTCGTTTCCTCATAGAAATGTCAAATAACTGACTCAATTCTGTACTGTGCACTCAGAGTGGCTATGATTGGATTGGTTTTAGCGAGGGTGAAGAGAGGGAGAGCTAGCATATTCGAATGTACCAACTTCAGTGAGTTTTGGTTGGTCAACTGATGTGACAGGCTACCGAAATCGGTAATGTCAGGCACCATAGTGGTTTAAGTGCCGCTTGAAAGCCATTCGGTCTCTATTTTCCGAATTCACTCTGATGACCGTGGTTGACAGGCATCTCTTCACACCGATTAGACACTCTGATCAACAGCATTTGCTCTAAATCCTAGCTAGCTAGCTTCTGACCTCGCGGCGCTCTCTAAGTAAGAGGCCTTGACAGACGGTGACATTGACACATTCAGCACGGCTACTGGTGTAACGGTGATAGCACTGATGGGGAGGTATGTGAGTAGTATGTTTTCTTCTTGTAAATTAGCTTTGGTCTCTTGAAGAGGGAGATCTGTTACGGAATTTGTGGAGTTGCTTTGTAGCATTTGCTTGAACTTGAGTAACAGTCAATGAATATCCAGGAAGGTTCAGGAAGACGCGCTCAAGAGAAGATGGATGTTCAGTTTTTGTAAACAAGATGCATATGAGAGTTTTGCTTCCCTGTCCAGTAGTCTGTAACTGGTCAGTAGCTACAGCCACTTGCAGTGCAAAAAATCAAACACACTGGTCACTTTCTGCCTTTTTTTATCCCGTGTACCTTATTATCACATTTACGACGCGATTAGTGAGGTGATCCATTTGGTCTGACAGTTCAAACAAGTTGCGATGGTGAAGATTGGACAAAATGATTGCATTTCAAAACTTTGCGGTTAAAAAATCTCATCAACGATAAGCTCAGGTTTATGCACAGTATCATTCATAATATAAGTAGCTTGGGCTGTTAGGTAAGATAAGGGACGCTTCGATCGGCGATCGTAAGCTTGTTCCCGTTTCTCCATTGTCCAAAGGACTCATTCATTCATAAATTGTCAAAGAATGGGGTAACAAGGTTTAAACGGACTTTTTGTTACTCGGTGCTCAAAGTTGAGAAAGTGGTTCGTTTACAAGAGAACTTCACTCACATAACAGCGACAACTTCACTGATTCTGAACGCATTTTCCCCACGGAGTTTTCCACCTGGCAGTGCAAAAGCCCATCATCATCCTGATAAGATAGGTTTGTTGTAGTTTGCACATCTAGGTATTGGCTAAAAGGAAGCCAACTGGATTGAGTGAGTGAACTGAAGTTGCTCGTCTGTAAGACTCTTTCTCGACCTGTACGATGGTCTTTTACGGACCACCGGACACGTGGGCGTGGATTGGCACCAGAAACCAAACAGGATACATAGTACTTCTTCCCAGCAATTAGTTGGTGCGTCATGCGATCCAGGTGTGCTAAGGTCAGGTTAAGGGGAGCTTGCACACTCCCAGAGGGTAAGGTTTCTTTGATGAAGTACACACCGATGGGTTCAGTAGGAGGACCTGAAGGAACAGTGATAGGTAGGTATTATATGGTCATTTTTTTCGAATAGACTAATGAATGCTTACTTGGATTTGCGGAGGAATATTCCTAAACAAACAGTACTAAGGTTCATATTCAACCTTAAGTTACGGTCAGGTATACAACCGATGTTTCGCACACACCAGTACTACCACGAAAACTGGTAATTTGGTGAAATATTGGTAGCTCGGGTGAGTTTATTGATTGTTGATCAGATGGCTGTTGAGTGGGCACCCAACTGAGCACTGATGATGTCTCCTCGTATGGTGACGAAACGTTTGCAAGCCAATTGCTAAGTTCGGCGAACAGATCAACAGCCATCTGATCAACAACCAACAGCGAAAACTGCATTCCCGTGATTCCAGCTGAAAGTGTTGTCATTCGGTTTGAAGTTCATGCTTCTATCAAGAACGATCGATACAACCAGTACTTAAGACCACAGGAAGCCAGTCATCATAAATCACCCAATGGTCGACCTGTGGTTCCCCAAAATTATTTTTAATCTGTGGTTGTTTAAAAGATACGTCGGGAACCATTTATTGGTGATTAGATGGCGAATCACAAAACAGAGCTGTCTTCAGCAATAGATATCTCCTCGGTTGGGCCAAAACTTCAACTATTTCACCAGCAGCATGTCTTTATGCAAGCAAAACAGTTGCCTGAGGGGGGGGGGGGGAGGGCCTAATAGTGATAGAATTTCCCGTTCTAATGGCATATTCTAATCATGGCTAAGGGAATTTTCAGGTTGATAGGATTCTTGAACATAACCTCAGAACTTCCGAAACTTACAAGGGAACTGCCAGTGGCCTAAATCATTTCAGGAAGACGAACGAGTTTAAAGGCCAAAAATTTAACCGATCAATAGAACTTTCAAACTGCCACTCAGCGACGACTGAGCGTACTCGGGTGCTCAGGTGTGACATAGAAGCAATACCAATCAGTCAATCCACATCTATAGAACAGCTTGGATTCAAGGTCAAGAGTGCATTTTAAATAACATGACACACCTTGGGACTTTTCTCTTGCTTGTTTGCAAGAAACCTATTGTGTTCTTGTTAGATAGATCTTTTCACTCACTAAGGTTCTGGAGCCTAGATTGGCAGTCAGTTAAAATGGACTAACAACAGGGAAATATGTGCTGTTGGGTAACTGGTTTCACAAAAAACCTAATTAAGGTTACAGGTAGAGGAAAAGTGTTGAGAGATAGCATGAGCTTAGTATCTGAGTAGGTTGATTCGTACTTTTTCAAAACAGAATTAAAGAGAAGATTTCAACGATAGTAGCTCTCAAGAGAAAGGTAACATTCAAAATACGGATACCCGATAATACGGTGAAAATTCTCCGACAGCCCAAGACTGGTTTCGCCCCTCTTGGCGCTCATCAAGTAGGCGCAGTCCTCGAGTTTCCGTCAACCTTGTATTCTACTTGAACCCGACTTGCGCGTAATAAGCGAAATAGATTCATTTGGAATCCAGCTGTATTTCCCGTTCCTGATGTTTCTAAGCAACCGAGTGAGTAGTGTGTCACGTCTATATATGTATCGCGATATCTCAAATATCGTACCAACTGAAAAATGAGGCGGCTTAGTTTGGCCCATTAGGTCGCTTAAAAACATCACAAACGGGAGATTCAGCTGGGTTTTGGCTGTTTGCAGATGAGTGTATTTCGCGAAAATTCAAGGAGAAAAAAGGCGCTAACGTGATCAAGACGTGCCACAGGTACGCGGGAGTAAATGTGAACCGTCAAACAGAGGACCCACAAACAGTCAGGATGACTTCAGCTTTCGGCACACCTCTGCAGAAAGAGTGATAAACGACAGTCGATCTGGGCATTGAATTGAGCAAATTGGTGCGCCGATGGTTGACTAATGCAGCTCTCTGCTTTGCTCCAGAAGGCACAACGGTGAGGTCAACTCGATTTTTGACGAGAAGCTTGTAAGCAGCTTTCCCAGACCAATGACGAACCACACAACTTGAGCTACTGAGATCATTCTCAAAAGAAACCGTAGGTTTTATGTTGAGGTACAGTGATAGGTCATGAACAACGGTCTCTAATTCATCTTGAAGCCATCGTGTCTCTGCAGAAAACGAGGCCATGTGACAAAGACAAGACACTTAAACTAATGCGATAGAATCGGTTCAGAAGAGCTTGGTAAACAATCGGTAGTTTTTTGGGCAACGTTTCGCTTTTGACACAAAAGCTTCATCAGGCCAAGTGAACAGGTCACCAAATTGGCCGGGTTATAAGACAGACGGGGAACCAGTCAGTAAATCAGTCCTCTTCAAACTAGATCAGTGCTGAGTGTCGCCTAGTGTGGTTACCAAAATCTTGAATTGATAGGCTGGAGGAGTTTCAACTTAGTTGAGTGTATTTCTTGAAAACAGTCCAATTTGGGTTCAAGTAGAACATAAGGTTGACGGAAACTCGGGGACTGTGCCTACCTGGTGAGCCCCAAGTAGGACGAAAACGGTCGTGGACTGTCGAAGAATTTTCAGCAATCTTGTGAGCAGTCTCCTTTAGTTCAGATCGTTTTTTATTCCTTGATCTTCCAATTCAGAATGCTTCACTCGATGGTACACTCATAACTCATTCACTCATTACTCATCCTTTACTGACGGCGACCACATCACGTGGCCATGCGAAAGTAATTAGCCAGAACCGTTTAACAAGCAAACCTCTTCCTGGTCATGTGTGAACTAGCAAGTTTTTCTCTTGCCTTTGTTGCGAGGCTACTGATGTTCTTTAAGTAACCGGAGGTAAATTCACTGATCTTCTGGAGGTGCGACATTCCGCGACTAGGGACGTCCTCTGTTCCTGACAGGTCTTCTTGGTAAGGAATTTCGCTTGCTTATTCTTAGAATTCGTGCCTACTTTCTTGTAGTTTGATAGCTTTTACTTTTTTGGAAACCACTTAGTTCGAGGTTACTTGAATTCGGTTGTTATGAATGACACAGACCTGTCATTTTCTCATTCTTTCACTTTACCGCATTAATGTTGATTTTCTTTTCACCGGAAGCTCAGACGTCCGTCTGATTACCTTACAAACCAAGTTTACTAATCACGCTGAAACCTAGATTTGACAGTTGGTTGGTCTGTTCGCTTAGCACGGTAACCGGCTTGGAATCTTTTTCGAAGACACCAGGTTCAACACGGAGTGAGAAACACTAAACTCTGAAGGCAAAGAAACTCCACACTTACACGAGGAGTCGAATAAACTAACAGAACTAGGATAAAAAGCGTCCAGATTTAAAGAACAAATTAAATGAACCGAAATGTATGATCCTCAGCATGGCCCAACAAACACCAGAACTAAGCAGTCCAGGCCAATGTGAACTCTGTAGAGAGAAGTCGTGGAAACCAGCCAACCAGAACAAAAACTAACTCATCATCATCTTCATCGACAGCAAGATATCAGCTTTGAGCACTGATGCTTCGCTGCCGTAAAGGAAACCAAGTACAGGTTAGAAATCAATCAATCAAAATGGAGAAGGTAAAGGCTACCAAAAATAGAAGATAAATATTCAACCAATGGAACTATTGGAAGGCAGACCACAAAGCAACAAAAGCCACAAACGGATCGGTCAGAGCATGAAGGAACAAACGGGAAATTAAATATGATGAACCAAACGAAGGTAAGAAAGGCGAACACCAGGCAACATATGTCTCAAATGAACTGATCAGACCCCATGTGAGATGACTCATAATAAACCAATCACGAAAGGACTCGTAACTAGGCTTGACAAACCATACAGTCGCAGGCAAGAACAGAGGAATTACCCACCCATCTACGCGCTGTTGATGAGTCCGGGCTATCAGTAGTCCAACACGAGACCTGAACTACATGATTGGGGTAGTAAATAAACAAGTGATTACTCAGTTAATAGAAATGAAGTGAAATTTAGGATTAGTATGAACTCACTCCAAACGTGAAATTCGGCTCGTTTTTCAATCGCGTCAAGATTTATCAAAATGTAACATTGAAAGATGCCATCGCAGTGTTTGGAGACATTGTGCAGATGCAGAGTATGAAGCTGCCGAGACTCGATGAGAGCTTTTTCTTCCAAATAATTTGCCGGTCTATTCAGTTGTGCATGGGTCTCCCGGAAGAACTGGAGCGCTCGTTGTTGGTTGACGAACTCGCAATTTTTCGGGGGATCTGGACACCGCACTAGGTCGTCCTCCTGATGCATAAATGCCCAGTTTGTAGGTGGTGGTGGTTTTGAACTGTGTCGAAACCTCCAGATCACATACACACTTGCGTTTGCTTTTGGTGGGTTGGACAACAGACATCTCAAGTTGACAGAATCTTTTTCTCCAATAACAATGGACGAAGGGGTGATTGTGAGCTGGAGCCCTGCAGTTTGCATGGGTAGAGCACCTAGAAATTGTCAAAAATATTTTCCACAGGACTAAGAAAATCCTCTCTCAATTTTTTTTCTCACATGCAGAACCTATTGTGCCGTCAGATAAACACCGTTTTACAGTTTTCGGTACGGTTTGGAAATGATCGGTAAATTTATCACTGGGCAACGTTTTGCTTCTGGCACAAACGTTTCGTTAGTCCAAGTGACTAGGTTGTTCGAGAGTTTAGGGTGAAGGAGAACCAATCAGCTAAGTCAGATTATATCTGTGTTAAGTGTCGGCCAAGGGGTTTCGTGTGTTAGTGTGGGTCACCAAGTGTTAAGCCGATGGGGGATTAGGGTCTAGCTTAGGACCTAGCTCTTCCAGTTTGCTCCAAGTCCATCTGTATGAGTGAGCTAGTGCTACGATAGTTGTGTAATGAAGAGGGATTCTTTCAATTATGGTCGGGTCGGGATCTCCACCCCTTGTTTCCGCTAATGATTTTACGTGCATTGGCAACCACATACAATCATGTGTCAACTCGGCTATTCGGTTGATTTCTTCTGTGCACAACGATCTGACTCGACTAAATCTCGATGAGACAGTACTGCGTACAAGGACTTTGAGTGTGCTGGTGAGCAGTCTAAGACGGTTCCTGTGTCTGTCGGTTTTTGGCAGATAGTAGTTCTTAATTTTCTGCCAATCTTATGTGTTATATATTCTAGGAGGGGTAATTTTCCCGAGGTGGACTCTGTCCTCTTGCTAAATTTGATATATGGATTTAAACTATTAGATAGCCGTGGAAGCTGTTCGCGTTACCACGTTTGATTACAGCAAAGGCATCGAAAACATAACGCCAAAAAGCTGTCGGTGAAGAATGGTATTCGGCCAAGACCATTGGTTCCAAATTCTCTAGATCTAGTTCTTGTGAGTAAGTAGTTGTGTCAAAAACAAACTAATCGAGATTCACACATACTCGTATGCTCTCGACTATTTCATCCACTGTGGGTTGTGTCTGTTCCTTAAGTGTCGTGTCTGCCACTAAAAACTTCTTAGTTATTTCCAGGGTATTGGCCCGAGGAATGTTTGTGTACAGTGAGATTAAGTCAAAACCAACGAGGCCTTCGTCCATCTCCAAAGGAAGTCCTGTGAACTCATACGAATTTCTAATGAAGTTGCTGGATTTCCCTTTAAGTGGTTTTAGCATAGCAGCTAAGAATCTAGCTGGCCCGTGTGTTGGTGCGCCAATGCCATCCACAAGTGATCATCTGTCCTGTGGATTTTTGGCAGTCCGTAGACTCTTGTGTGAATCGTTTATTTTAAGTACAACTTTACCTAACAACCTTAACTTGCACTCAATAATTTACTATGGATCATAAAAATTTACCGTTATTGAAGTAATATAATTACTGGTAATTTTTCTTTAGGGCACATTGACGAGGTGTTGCTTAACCTTTTGAAGATAGTCACTCTTGTCCATTACTACTGTGGCTTTCAAAGACTTCAACTGACTTCGTACTTACGCTATGAAGGCCATTGAATCTGCATTGCTGTATTATTGCCTGATTACTTCACGAGATAGGGGGTTATTAAGTGGAAACATTCGGAAGTTCCACTGTTGCAACAGCATTCTTTATCCAACTCCACATATGACAAATCAAGTTCATGAGCGGTCAGTTTGCGACAACCGTTTTGACTTAATCCTTCCCAATTTAATTGTTGCTGGGCCACAGCTGATTTTCAGAAATGTCATCTGGATTCTCATCGTACGATCTACAGACACAACTGTAAGCCATATGAAGCATCTCACAGTGATTATCTGAACTCCACACATGGACACTTGGGCGGACTTTTGCCAAATCACTTCGGCCAGTATTGTAAATTGCCAACCAGTTAATAAAAAGCCTTTCAAAATGCTAGGGATTTGGCCGAATTTGGAGATGTAGAGCCAATAATAACATTTGGTAGAATACACCCAGTACAGCCAGAAACTTTACCACTCTGCTTATACTCCTCTCGCTAATGGATATCTAATGGGGACTGACTCCAGACTGTTTTGTATATCTGCAAAAATACCAACATTACTTGAGTTTGAGATGCAAAAAGGTCACGGGTGCAAACCAAAGCTATCAACAAAGGTAATCAAAAGGTAAGATCGTAGGGCTAAAACGATTCACGATACCATGCTCCACACCAGAGCAACTCACCACTCCTCATCTACTACATGAATCTGTAAAAGTACTTCCTAAACAGTGCAGTGGCACGTTAGAACGCTACAGCTCTGTGACTCTGTAGACAGCTATTAAAGTTACAAAACTACGTGCAGATACTCGGAGGATATTTATCCGGTGTATCAGATTCTCACTTCTGTCACTCGAGCCCGATGCTTCTCTAACTCTATCGGAAAAGCCGGCTGGACTAAGCTCCCAAGTACTATTGGAAACAAAAAGAAAAAGAATATAGATATGGCGAAAATTTACGAACATATGCAAATATATATCGAGTAACATGCACATGTCTTGGACAGAGTGTGTCAAAAAATATTCGACACATTTTGTCAGGATTCCAACCAGTTTTTTACAGGTCTTCGGAGGCGCCTCAATTGTGCTCCTTTGTTTTTCTGGTGACGTGCAGATAGGGGCGGTAGTTTCCCGTGAAAAACGGCGCCAGATACTGGTTAAGATAAAATCTAAACGAGTGCAAACCATTTATCGTTTCAGATTAACATACGACGAAAAAAATGGCCTCGCTTTTAATTCATTTTTGAACCTCTCCCCTAAGTTTAGTCAGCAGCGTTGCACGCAAAATTCGAATGGATATTCAACAGTCAAACATGTGAATGATCTAAAGTGACTGTGAGTTTAGGTGTTAAGTGCGAACGGCCGTCCGATTGACTTTATATCCATTAACCAGAGAGAACTGTTCACTTAATGGTTCAGCTTTGAGTATTCGGCTAAAGGATCGGCTGGACTGGGTTGTGCAAAGTACTAGCGGCTTTCGTCAATTACTGGAAAAAAGTAACAAATGTTGATAGGTTTAATACGACCAACGTATTGGCCGATTCAGCGAGGCTGTTTGGGTTGGTTCAGTGTCCAAAAATCCGATTCGAATTGTCAGTATATATATATATATATATATA